TAACAATACAAAAAACAATTTTCTCTAGAGAATTCTGGCTTCTTAACAATGAAAAATCTATTGTGTAACAAGTCTGTCATAAGTGCAGCAGATGTTCTGAACAAATCTATAGTCTAGACACATTGTTAGTGTCTGTAAAAAGCTAATGCATGAAAATTTACCATGACAACATTCAATTGATGTTCACATTCTTGTATTAGCTTAGAAATAATAATCTATTGCTTTCTTGTAGACTCCAGCTGTGTTAATTTTAGAAAACCTCAAAAAAGCTTTTACAGTAATTAATAGACCAAGCAAATATAAACATTGACATCTGATGTTTCTTTTTTTTTAGTACTATACAAAAGTGTAAGGACAACTGGCTGTTTTTTATTGTCATGATATATATAATTGTTTAGTTTAGATATTATTTATTTATTTATATTTGTGAGTGAATATTTTATTATTCTTTAGTTTTTGTTATAATAAGAGTTAAAAGCAGACGCTTGAAGGAAGTTTTTTTAATAGTTCATTGATGTTGAGACTATTGAACATCACCTGCAATACATTGACATTGAGAATATTGATGGTGGGCAGGGGATTAAGTGATGAAAATATAAATAGTGTGAGACGAGCAATAACAGCAGAGAGATAATAGCAAAAAAAGTAAAGTTACAGGGAAGGAAAATTTTGTCGTGAAGTTAAATACCTTAGAAGTGATAGGCCTAATGTTTAATATGTTAGAGTAAGACTAACAAGAGATAAGAAGAAGAATTATTGAATTATTCCGTCAAAGCATGGTTCTAAAGTAATTGAATCAGCCTGAATGCACTTTGACAAAGGGAACAAAGGATATTTAGAAGAAAGAAGACCAAATGATTATGGTAACTCGTGCCACAATTCTAAGTGAATCACACACAGAATACAAGTGCGATAGTAATAGATAATATAGTTCGGCTTGTCAACTGAAATTCTAAAGTAATTGAATTGGCCTAAGTGGAGTTTTGACAAGAAGAACACTATACATATAGTGTTTATGACATGTCTGTAATCTCTATAGTGTGAAGAATTTGTTGTACATACGTTTAACTTGTTCTGAATATATATATATTATTTTGAAAACAAGGGAAGTGTTTGCTGTTTATTTATCATTGAATTTATCGCTAACAAGTCACAGACACCTACTGTAGAAGAATCTTAATTCCAACAACAATATAGTATATACTTATAGTATTAAGAAATATAAGTAAAAGCTTTTTATTTATACAATTGGCAAAAAGAATTATGTATATATATTTTAAAATTCTGACATTTATGAATTTCTGGAAAAAAAAGGAGGAGGGAGTTTTGATCCCTATATTTGTACTTACTTATACAACATTAAATAATACAGTTATTAATTTGAAGATAGCTTTTATATGAGGAAACATCTGTTAGCTGAGTTATTGCACTAACTAATGGGCTGAGTCAGTAAGCAGTCAACCTCCTCTACTCTTGCATAGCACATTTTATATCATTTAAGTCATTTTATAAATTTTCAATAAAACTCCGGACATCTGTTCATCATGTGACAATAATTCTCCCTCTGATGTAGAAACAATAAAAACATCTATTATTTTGGTGTGTATGCATTTTACAAGCTGGCAAAGAATGATTAGTTTTACTTGTCATAAGACATTAGTATTAGGCCCTAAGGGACAAGATTAAGAATATAGTGTTTAAGAATGAAATAGGCCTAATACTAACATCTTTTGACAAGTATAAACATCTAAATTAAAATAATATTGTTACGACAGCGGAGGTCACGTGACACTAGTAACACGCCATGCGCTTCTAGAATGTTCATGAAGCGTCGGGAGACTACTAGATATGGAGTAGTCTTGTATATATAAGACCGACCAAGAAGTGACGGGAACAATGTGATGAGTAATTGAACTGCGGACAGAGAGAGAGAGAGTACTGTTGAATTGAGCACGTGAGACGTTCATTGTGAATTATAGCGTTTGGTGTAGCGTGACTGTGGAAATTAAGTGTATTGCAAAGCTGTATTTAGAAAGAATAAACCAGTTTCATTTAAGAAAGGACTTGTATCGCTAAAGTTTCTTCGAAAAGACATTATATGGAAAATTAACTAACGACCAGAGACGTAACAATATAAACATAGCCCATAAAAAAAAGGTGAATCACATATCGATGTAATTGCTGCTGAAACCTTTACAAAGGTTACCCCCATACAGTGAGGTGGCAGGTGGTTTTTTGTAAGTTATTCATGAAATGAGGTAGTAACTGCTAGAACCTTTACAAAGGTATACCTGAGTGTGAGGTTAATAGCAGTGTGTAGCATTTGTAAATTTATATACCTTTCAATATCAGGAGGTACTATAACATTTATAAAGGGTAATCATGTACTGAGATAATAACTTCTAAAACCTTTTTGAAGGCTTACCATAATGTGAGAAAACAGCAATGGGTAGCACTTTGTGTTACAATGATGTCAAAAAGTACTAATAATCTTTATAAAGGTTTATCATGAACTGATGTAAGAGTTGCTAAAACCTTTGTAAAGGTTTACTATAATGTGAAGTTAATAGCAGTGAATAACATTTTCAAATGCTTCTAATATAGCAATACCACGAGGTACTAATGACCTTTATAAAGGTTTGCTGTGTTATTAATTTTTTGTAGTCAATGGGACTAGAACATGAAGAAATCCATGTGTTAGTGTTTTATCGACACCAGAGTAGCTGGTTATTATTTTAGTGGTAGGTTTTAGGTGAAAACACAGGCAAAGGTTTGTGGCCTCTTTGGTGCCAACTGTATGAAGAAGGTAAAGCCTTGGTTGAGATAGAAATGTACTTCCATTGGTTGCATTATTCTGGGTGATTGAACAAGCTGAGTTCATTCCTTGCATTTTACACTCATAATGAAAAATGTATACTTTTTATCTAGTATTTGGCAGAATAATAATGTCACGTAATTGAAACATTATAAAGGGAATTTGTGTTATCAACAGAAACATTATTTTGTTTGGTAAAAAAATCAAAAAGTGATTGTTTATTATTTAAAATGGAGGGATTATTGTTGCATTATTGAACACTATTACAGGCATTGTTGTGCAGTTCATTTTGGCTCTGTTGCATAAGCACTGCATTGTTTGAATCCATTTTACAAGTGTCAAATAAACTGATTGTATACTTCAAATGGGTGGTGTAAAATGATACCAATTAATTGTTAATTTTGTTACTTGTATCAATCTCTTGTGTAATTTTTGTATCTCGGGCAGTCATGAATGGATAATTTTTCTTTAATTTTCCTTTAATAATTTCTTGGGAGCTTGGAAATGATGTCTAGATTTTTCTTCATTTGGTGCATTAAGTGCATTAGACATTTTGCAAGATTTACTTGTATATATATATATATATATATCATGTTGAGAATATGCTAAATCATATTTGACATCCTGGAAAAGTTGGATGTGCATTTATCGTGGCATGAATTCACCTTTATCACACCAGACATCTTGGAAAAGCTGTTTATGCCTGTGGCATGATTTCATACCAATGTTATGATGTGAATGATATGTCTTTATTACACCAGGATCCTGGAAGAGTTCCTAATTAAAATGTTATATTGTGAGTGATGTGTCTTAATCACACCAGAAATCCTGAAAGAGTTACCCTTTGCAATGTTAAAATGTGAATAATGTTTATTAATCATGTCATTCTTGAGGAGTTACTCATTGCAATGCTATGATGTGAATGTTATGTCTTAATCTTTCCTGATATCCTGCATTGTGTATTAATTATGCATGTTGATTGCAGAGTTTAATATACAGAATGTTAGTCATACTTTGTATGAATGATAAGCATTTCTAATGCAGTTGTGTGTCACTGCAAGTGTGAATCATGTTTTAACATGGGTTGAAGCTGATGTCTAAACAGTAGGTACTGTTTGTGTAAACTTTATCAAGACATGTAGCCGAAGACTAATCTTGTCATCTTTTTTTGGAGGCACATCACAATGGGAATTGTGGTGTCAGTCAGTAATGTGTAATCATGACCAACAGACTCAACATAAGTGATGATGAAGGAAGTAGTTCTCAAGACTTCATGAAACCTGAAATATTGTTTTTATGATCTGTAATTAACTTTAGTACTGATTATTAACACTCCTAGAACATTATTCTTAAGAAATATAATCAAGTTTTAGTACTGGTTAACACTTCTGGAATATTGTTCTTATAAAGTGTAATTAACCCATAATACTGGATTTTAACACTTGTAAAACATTAAAGTGGAATCAATTTTTAGTATTGGTTCTCAACATTTTTGGAAGACTGTTCTTATAAAGTATAATCAACCCTCGGGTATTGGTTCTTAATGCTCCTGAAACATTGTTTTTATTAAATGTTATCAACCTTTATTACTGGTTCTTAACACTTCTGGAATATTATTCTTATAAAGTATAATCAAACATTATTATTGGTTCTTAACACTCCTGAAACAATATTTTTATTAAGTGTAATCAACCCTTAGTACTGGTTCTTAACACTTTTGGAATATTGTTCTTATAAAGTATAATCAACCTTTATTAAAGGTTCTTAACACTTCTGGAATATTGTTCTTGTTAAATGTAATAAACCCTTAGGACTGATTCTTAACACTCCCAAAACTTTATTTTTATCAAATAAAATCAACCTTTAATACAAGTTTTAACAATTCTGCAACATTTTTCTTATAAAGTGTAAATAACTCATATTATTGGTTTGTAACACTTAAATTTAAAACATATTTGGTGAGATTTTCTTATTTTGTTGTTCCAGATTTATAGTTTTTTTGTTTTCATTAGAGAGAAATTGTTAGATCCAATTGTCTTTTTCTTTCAAACGAGTTTTACCAACATATGTGTGGAAGTATGTTATTGAATCATTCTTAGTCTTATCTTACCATGTAGCATGTTTAAAATTATGTTTTTTATTAGAACATTTGTACACATTTTTATATTTGAACATCCTATTTTAGTGGCCAGAAGCAGAGCATGTCCAGGAGGGTGTTTGGTGGCTCAAGTGGCACATACAATGTGCGAGCCTCAGAGCTTGACAGAGAAAAAAGGGGTCGAACTATACGCTGCGCAGTATTCTTTTTGGATGACACTCAGCACACCTTTGAAGTTGATGTAAGTCATTGTGTTTAGGAACATTTTATATAGTTACATATTGTGTTTTTACTGTGTTTAATTTATAAAAATACAAAAGTTGTTGTATTTTATTACTAAATAGCAATAATAATTAAACTGTAGCATAAGTTTGGTTTCTCAAAACAAAGTGTTTTCAGTGTTATATAACCTTCTTGTCTGAGGTAATGTACTGTATAATATCGAGATTATTATGAAACTTCATGACTACTCTGCCCTATTAGACACTTTGTTATTTATAAGTATATTATACTTGATGTGAAGTTATGGACCATGTTTGTCATAGGAAAAACTAGTTAATTTTAGTAGAAATACGTTTTTATCTAAGATACTGACCTACATGTGATATAGAATGAAATGTCTGTACAAGTCAATAAGACTGAAAATTGTTCATTAACAAACCTGTCAGTGAACATACATAATATGTTTGCTAAAAAGTCACTCAGTAGGTACAGTATATTTACTTACATGTCAAGCAGTAAGTGGAACAAGTCAAGCAGGTACAACTGTATGTTTGCTAAAAAGTCAGGTAGTAGTTACAAGAATATGTTTGTTAATAAGTCAGGCAGTAAGTAGAACTGTATGTTTGCTAACAAGTCAGGCTGTAAATATATTAAGATGAGAGTTAGTAAAGAACATTTAATTACTGCACATTTAACACCTCCATATTAAGTATGAAGAATTATAGGATAGTACACAAAACAAGTTTATATGTAGCAGTGAATTAGAAAAGTGGAACAAGTGTATTATGTTTATGGTGTTTTAGTCGTTGTTGACTTACTGCAACTTACCTATACTTATATAGGATATGAAAAATATGTAGGATTGATGTTATTAATTTATTCCTTTGAATTATTCAGCAGACAAGTTGTTTAAGACAGAAAAAAATAAATACGAAGCCCAGTATCATTCAGTTCATTACTTGTCACTGTGGTACACATATACCAATGTTGGGGAATTACACCCCTCAGTAACCCATCCATGACTAGACTTCTTGTAGTGGATGTATGGAGTTTTATACTGAACCTGGTGTAACTCAGTAACAAGTGGTGAATTGAATGATATATTGGACTTCACATTATTCTTAGTATCTTGAACAACATATGTGCTAAATATATCAGAAGAGTAAATTAGTAACATTGATGGTACATATTCTTCAAGTCCTGTATAAGTATAGGCTCATTGCGGTGAGTAAAAGGCAACTAAATCACTATACATATAATATATAGTTCAGCACTGTAAGGAGCCTAGTCTTGTTTTTTTTAATTTACCCTTGTTCATGGTTACTGATGAAGAGGTAGAATTTCCCAAAACTGATATAATTCAATGGCATGTGGTGGATCGATTCATAGGTTGAGCTTCATGTTTATTGTTGTTAAAAGTGTATATTTAGCATATAGTTAGTAAGAAGAGCTAAGTGTATATCAAGTATTGAGTGTTAATAAGAGCATGGGTGTGAAAGTTCTGATTTGGATACAAGAATTTGTATTGACAGTTTTGGCCAGTGTAGAATAGTCTTGTTAAAAAATACTTTAGTTTTAAGGCTTGATTTATGTATCACTTCTTTGCCTCATTTCATAATTGGCCACATGTGCATTGGCAAAGTTGGAGAGAAAGATTTATTTGGAAATCCAATTATTTCAATCAAATGTCATAATGACAACAGACTGGTAGCGATGTTAAAAAGGAGTGATGCTTTGAAAGGGTGGACAAAATAGATTCTAATGACTGAGTTTTTCACTTAATGATTACTAAAACTTGATGAGTCTGGGCTTTGTCAGTGGTGTTTGCAACAACCTAGGCTATTTTTCAAACTTTTTAGATTTATAGAGGTTTTTAATTTATTTATAAATTATTCATTCCTTTGAATTATTGAATCTAAGAAGCATTTTAATTAAGTGATATTAAAGTCTAGATATCTAGTTGAATTGTATCTATTTTATGTTAGACCCATTAAAAAAATCACAAGAACTTACAGTAAACATCTACAGGGATTATAGATAGATTTATTTCTGTTTTTCAAAGTTAATCTTACAAAGCCAGCCCATTTCCCTCCATAAGTTGCAGTATATGCCCCCACCCCCCACTCCCCGTCACACACACACACCTTCCAAATTAACAAAAAATATTCAATAATTTCATTCCTGGTTAAATATCAGAGTGAAATATACACTATGCTTCACCTGAACAAATTTCTTTGTAAGATAGATCATGGAGCTGATTGATTAATTTTAAGTTCATTTTTCCCACTCATAGTTAGCAATTGATAATTATTGTAAAATCTTCTATATGCTGTTCCATCAAAGAATTTTGTGTTGTTTTATGGTGGAATAGTGAACACTCCATTTTAATTAGTTTTGTGTCAGCTTAAAAATAAATAATGTATTTTAACCCTGTCACAATAGTTAAGTCAAAGCATATCACAACCTTTTACAGTTACATTGAAAATTTAATTAAGCTACTTTATTATCAATGTATATAAATAAACTTGGCATCAAAACTTGTTTAATAAATCAAATCCTGATATTATATAAGTTTTACATTTTTAATTTTAAAAGGAAATATATGAATAAATTTTAAATCTCTGTTAGTATGAGTGACATTTGCTCTCTAGGTCTACCCCCTTCTCCAGTTTATTTACCACCCCTCTGTGTGATTTAATGTAAATTACTCACTATAATTGTCAGATTTTAAAAATAATAATAATTATAATATATACATATACAAGTTCTTCTTTTTGCCAATTGTCGAAATAAATGGCTTTTACTTATATTTCTTAATAGTATAAGTACATACTATGTTGTTGTTGGGCTAAGGATTCTTCTACAGTTGGTGTCTGTGACTTGTTAGCAATAAATTGAATGATGAATAAACAGCACACACTTTACTTGTTTTCAAATAATATATATATATATTTGGAACAAGTTAAACCTATGTACAACAAAGTCTTCACACTATAGACATTACAGACATATAATAAACACTATTTGCATATAGTTCTCTTCTTCTTGTCAAAAGTCCACTTAGGCCTATTCAGTTACTTTAGCATTTCAGTTGATAAGTGGAACTATCTTCTCTATATTATTATCGTACTAGTATTCTGTGCGTGATTCACTTATAGTTGTGGCACAAGTTACCGTAATTCGTTTGGTTTTCTTTCTTTTGAAGATTGTCTGTTCCTTTTATCAAAGTTTACCCAGGTTGATTCAATTACTTTAGATCCATGCCTTGACAGAATAAAATTATCCTTATCTTTTTTAAACTGTTAGTTTCACTCTAACGTATTAAATGTTAGGTCTATCACATCTATGGTACTTAACCTCACACAGCTATATTCTCTTTTGCTGTTATCTGTCTATTGTTGTCTGTCTACTGCTTCCTGCTTGTCTCATGCTATTTATATCTTTATTACATTGTCATCTGGCCACTTTCTATATTCTTGACACCAATTAGTTATTAACAAAACATTCTGCAATCGTCTGGTTTTAACTCTTATTATAACCAAATTTAAAAATAATAAAATATTCACTCACAAATATAAATTAATCATTAATATTTAAACCAAACAGTCTTTTATATCATGACAATAATATAGATGTTATTAAGGTTCAGTGACTTCAGTCTAATTTTGATAGTATTCAATCTTATTTGTTTATGGAGTTATAAACTAGAAAATCAGACACACAGTAATGTGTTGTAAGTCTAAGACAACCTGCAGGACACACTATGTGTTATTAACAGGAGTAATAGTTTAGCGATTTTCTACCTCTGTATCTCGGACTGTGGTAATCCAAACTATCACACATTTTCAGATGATGTGCCCTGCTGGACTCTTACTTTGCTTACCAAATTTCAAGGCAATCCAATAAAAAATACCTGAATTATAACATCTTGAATTTTGATTGAATTTCTTCCTTTTTTTTTTTCTCCTCACCAAAAGTAAGAAAATTTTATTTGATAGAAAAACATACCTAACCTTTATGGATTTTTTTCAAATTTGGTAATGATAGGTCTTTACAACCAAAAATTAGGTGTCAAATTCAGTTATTATTCATTGCCAACTTTTAAGCACAGATTTAATAAGTTTTACGAAATTCTAATTAATAAGTTGTTACGTATCTGCTTGTTTGTTAATTTCCGGTATAAATTCTTTCCAAGAAACTTCAGCGATACAAACTTTGCAATACACAGAATTTCCACAGTCACTTTAAGCTTAACAACCTTTTTAACACACGTTATAAATCACAGCGATTCACACACTTTACTTACGGTGCCTGCTGTTCGCTTGACTCAATTATCTGTCTCTTCAATCCCTCTGATTTTTCTTGCCAGGTTTAAATACTAAAAAAGAGGGCATTCAAAACAAACTTGGTCTTCTCCGATAATTCATGATCCTTCAAGAAACTCCAGCACGCATGCTCCCAATGCCGAGTGACTTCCGCTGTCGTAACACTGCCCCTTCCTTAGTATTGTTCGTCCCGAACAATAGCCACTTACATTAAACCAATACATAATTAACAATAACTTGATTAAATGTACAGAATTTGCAAACACAAAGTTAAAATACAACAAATCTTTTAATTTTACAGGATGTATCTTCTTCCGTACTGGTCTCTGTCTCATTGGCTTCTGTTTCACGTGGGGTTCATTTGCTCCATCAGAAAATGTCCTATTATCGGTAACAGTCACATCAGTGGTAGTAACTTCATTAACGGCTTTACTGTTTTCCTTCTCAAAACTGGGTAGAGTTTCTTCTTTGACAGTGGCTTTTTCAGGTGACACATCTTCAGCAGCATTATTTGTTCCAACTGAAATGTCCTGGACCATGATAACGCCAGAGCCTATTGGCATGCACCACCTTTGGCTTACCTCGCTGACCACATTTTATCCGGAAAGTCACGTCTGAGAGACGATCCACTATTTCATGTGGGCCTTCCCATGGAGAAGACAACTTAGGAGACTTCCCTTTGGTCTTCCTGGGA